TACCTTTAGAGTTTCTCAACAGTAAAAGGCTTCTCAGGATGAGGTCCTGGAAGGGGGAGCTTCTCTCACCTGTGTTTACTAGTCTGTTATTATGGGTGGATATACATAATGAATAGAGATTAAACACCATATCCTCATGTTCCAGTGCTCATGGACAATTTTTACACTGCAGTTTCCTCCCATTTGCCTTTGTCTTTCACTCTCCTTGTCTTGTGAAATGGCCCTGGAGTCTGGAGCTGCTGGAGGATCATTGGCTTTTCATTATCCTTCCATTTATTTGAGTCTAAGACCTGGAAGAAAAGGGCCTGGTCCTAGCAATGTATTAGACAACATTGGTTCCTCATGTTGTGCTCAGTGTCTCTATAGTTCTTAAATTTTTAACTGTGGGCACAGGGAATTCATAGCATATTTGGCTGTTTTCAAATGTAACACAAGTACGTATTTTTGGGTTGTGTATCAATACAAGGCAAAAGACACAAGCCCACTAGTTGTTCTAGTTGGACAGAAATTGAATGTATTATGATCCTTTCCAGAGCCCACTTCACAGAAGCATCCACGGAGGAAGAACTTTTTGAATAATGTCGAATACAATGTAGCAGACATGGTGTATTAGAAACACTAGGCTGTGCACAACACTGAAAAGGGGACTGGGCTTCTCCTCCAAGGCTTGGTAGAGGACAATCAGTCCGATGAATGTAACATAAACCAGGTAGGTTTGGATAAGATATTGAAATTAGTTATAAGCACACAGCTATGTTTAAACCCATTCTGTAGAGTCTGTGCGAACTCCTTGGTTCTCATAAGTTTAAACGTTCCATGACCATTGTTTCTTTCTTCTCCTTTTGGACAAACCCAACATCCAACTACTCCACTCTCATTCTTCTCCTGATTATTTTCTTGAGTGGGTCTTTGAGACTTGGACCAAGGGGGAACCTTAATGATCATTGAATCTCCTAGTTACAAATAATACATTTTAAGTCATATAAGCACAAGAGAAAAAATATTCATTCTCCTAACTCTAGAAGAAGGATGAAAAGACATTAAGTAATACCCACCACACTTCTGTATCTCAATGTGGATATCCAATTCTGGGTTCTCTGCCAGCATTTATCTACTGCAAGAATAGCTCACTGCTGAGAACAATGCACTTGATTTCTATATGGTGAATTTAGGGTCACAGTCTTACATAAAACAATTCTTGGTTTGCATTTGCCCAGCCCCTATCTCCAAGATCAAACCCTCTATCTCCAAGATCAAACCCTCTATCATGTTTATCAAAGTCAAGAGAAGACCAGTCAACAACTGTTGATTCTTTTCCATAGACTTCATAAAACACACCACTTTGCCTTGACAATGCATTCCCATAGCATCAATATGTAAACTAAGGGCACTTGTGATGTTTCATGCACTCTATATACCCACCTGCCAATTTCTCCCTACAAAAGAATCAGATGGGTCAGGAGGGTGAAGGCGGAGACATGTGAGGATAAACACCTCTCTAAACCACAACTGCAGTGAAAACATAGCCTATATGGATGAAACACATCTAATATAAAATCTGGTAATAATGAATATTTCATCAGTATGGAAAGCAAAAGATAAAACACTAACCAAATTCAATTTTTGTCCTAAAAAAAATATTAACTTACATGCTACAAATGCTATGGCCCACTATACAATGCAAACCTGTATTGCATTGACAACATATCTATCTATCTATCTATCTATATGCATTTATGTATATACATGTATGTATAAATGTATGTATGTATTAATGTATATATGTACATATAAATGTATATATGACAAAAATGAAAGTATATACTTTGTATTACAAATAAAATAAGATATATTGAAACCTAATGTAAAAATAGAATAAAAATAGATAAATAATTTGAGCCAACAATTAACCAAAAATAAGCATAGATTGTCTATAAAAAATTCACGTTTCCTGAACTTGCTATCTCATAAAGGAAAGAAAAATCACAAAGCAACTCATATCATGTTTCCTTCACAAGGAATGCTGTTAAGAGTTATGAACAGCAGTCTTAGGAGATTTTGAGGAGATGGAGAGACACTGATGCTTCTGAACAAAGGGAGAGGATTAAATGCATGTAAATCCCACTCTATGCTATAGAACAAAGTACACATGAACCATATATTGTGGAATTTGTTCCAGTTATTGTGAAAAAATAGTGTTAGACATTTAAACATAATCCAAGACTATTTTAAAATTTCACCTTTGCCTATTTCACTTGCTACAAAACTCAACAATAATAGTGATAATGCCCTAAAGACAGAAAGAATAGGGAGCACAGAAATAAATACATGATTTAAAACAAAATTATTTTTATTGTGGAAACCAGAACAGGAAATGGAGAAAAGATAGCCTTTCCAAACAACTCAATTAGGAAAAAATAAGCAAAAAGTACTTATTCTATCTTTAACCAGTTATAATTATCAACTGAATTTTCAGTAAAGACTAAAACATAAAAGCCCAAATTTGATTATGAGAAGAAAAAATAAGAAAAAAACAGTCAGTATGTCCGTTTGAATCAAAATATTTCAGATACTACCCAAATGCACATTCAACAAAACAAAAATTGACAAATGCACTATATCAAACTAAAAACCTTCTGTATAGCAATGGAAACAGCCAGCAGAGCAAGAACACAAGCTTTGTCATGTGGTTCACATAATCTGGTTTCTTTCCTCACAGAATGAAAGGAAATATCTGCACAAACACATAAAAATATAAAGACCTTATAAAAGTGATTAGGAGAAAAAATATTTAAAATGGCATAAGGAGATATTGCATATTTATATCCAAAAGTCATATAAATGGTGAACTTATCAGTTTAATTCATCATTAGAAAAATAAAATCAGAATCAATAAGATATCACATCATACCACTAATACCTATTATCAAAAGCACAAAATAACTTCTGATAGAATGTGAATAGAAAATGGACATTTCTCAAAAACTAAAAGCTAGTACTACCATATGATCCAGCACTCTCACTCTTGCCTATTTACACAAAGAAGATGAAACAAATACAGCTAAATGACACCTGCACTACTGTGTTGATTGCAGTGTTATTCACAATAGCAAGGTTATGGAATCAAGCTAAATGTCCATCCACAGAGAAAGGCATAATGAAAATGCTGTGTATATGATCAATGAAATTCTATTCCATGTCTAACAAAGATGGAATCCTGTGACAATACATGTACCCAGGAGGTTATTTGATGAGGTGAGGTAACTCTAGCACAGAAAGGCGTGCAGCATATGGTCTCACACATCAGTGTAATCTCAACATGTCCATCTCATAGACGTTCAGAGGAGAACATCTGGTTGTCAAAGACTGGAAACTATGAGAGTGTAATTCTTGAGTACAATTTTATTATTTTATAAAAGGAATAAGTTTGGTGTCCAATTGAAGAATAGAATGTATATAAGGAACAATCATGCCTTATGCACATTGAAATTTAGAAAAGAGGTATGTGAATTTATTCATCATAAAGAAATGGTTAAGGATTAAGGTGATGAATATATTGTGTACCCTGAACTGATCACTAGGAAGCAAGAACACAAATCAAAATATCATGCCATACCTCAAGATTTTCTACAAACACTGGGGTAACCAAAACTAGATGAATGTTTTTTACAAAATCACTCTGAACTATTTCTGAAGCCTTACTTTATACATCCTCACATCTGAGGTTTTTGTTCTGATTTCCACTGCTTTTGTGTGCTACTAAATTTTCAACTTAGGGCTTAGATGTTTATAAGGCAGGTCCTCTACTGTTTGAGTCAAACATCAAGCAAACTACATGGTATATAGATCTTCTTCTATGGAATTTTATTGAAATCTATTATGGTGGAAAGAAGAATGTATAGAAGGCTGGATCCTCATATCAGAATTCTCAAGGGAAATATGTGAAAACTTACCTGTCAGTATACTGTGTAAATCAAATGAGAATGCCATTCGAGTGCACAGTGACATATCTGTGATCTTATAGTATATGCTCAATGAATATTTCATTAATATTCCTTTACAAAAGAAGACCTACTCTGGCATAACTGCCTTCTCTGGTCTTCAGCAATCTTCAAAGGACAAGAAAAGAATGAAGCCCAATAATGTATGCACATATGAATAAATGAATAAAGGGAAAAAATGAGATCTTTTAGGATGATATATTTGTTCTTTACTAGAAAACAGTAGTACTAGTATGTGTGGACAGACACATTTTGGGTGTGGGAGATCCTCTGCATCATGCCTGCTTCCTCTAGATTTGTGCTACCGACAATTAGTGTAAGGCAGTAACAGCAGCACTATGGGAAATATATTAGAAAGGCAATTCACAGGCCTTCCTCCATCCGGTAGGATCACCAAGTGATTTTTTTGCAGAGAACGCAAAAGGGACTATGATTTCCTAAGAATGTCATACACCACACTTCCAACTGGAATCCTAGGACTACTATCAACAAATAATTACCCCTGTGTCTTCTCCACAGATTATGTACACTGAGTGAAAATGTTAATGGTGCCTTAATCAACAGGCACTGCTAAGTGACTATTGAGGCCACAATCAACCTTGATGACTTCAGTGTCCATTTTGGACTGTTGAAATTGTCCCTCATTCCAAAGTGATATAACAGTTCTTTACGTGACTGGGTTTGGTAGGACTAACCATTTTCATCCATATTTCAATGGCTATAATATCCATAATTGATTTTGCCAGAGGGAGACATGTGAAGTTGGAAAAAGAATAAAACACATCTTACAGGAACCCGTACTCACTGAATCTCTTTTGAAAATGAACAAAGGTGAGAGACATTTAATGCATGTGAAGGACCTAGTGCCCGTGGGTTTGTTGGAAGCAGGTGAAAGGGATTTGCAGATCTCTTTAAAGGCAGATGCTCTAGAAGAAGGTGCGATTTGTTAAGGGAATCATGACCGAGGAGGAAAACTAGAGAAGGAGAAGAAAGGGAGAGATGGCTGGTTGTCAGGTAAATTCATCCAAGGTCAGTGACCATCTTCATATACCCACTGCCACAATTGTATATGGAGAACTTTAACATTGTTGCATTTCTTCTTCTGACGTTTTGCCTACTGAGTTCCTTTCCAATGGCTTTTGTTATACTTCATTTCACTGTCAAGTTAACTCCTGAAAATGATTGTGCCCTCATAGCAGTGATTTCTCTCCATCCTCTTCTCTCTGACTTACTTTTGTCATACAAATTATCCCCAGGAATTCCTGACCTGCTGTGGTGGAAATGTCTATGGAATGAGAGATGAGCAAAGAAATGTATTGAGATCCAATTCTCACTAAAGATGGACTCGGGTCCTTGCATATCAGTGAAGAAGCCAACCTGTAGAGTGTAGGATTTTTTTCTTGAAGTTCCATTGGTTGTTTGTGAACAAGGATTAAGAAACATAATGGATTTCATTCCCAAAAATAGCTCTTAAATTTCAAATAACATAGGAAGAAGAATCCTTCTATCTCAATATATGAGGAATTCATACAGAGTGAAATGCTTTATTAAATTTCAGGATTAGTATAAGTTTGTACCTGAACTGTACATAGAATAGATGGTTGCTTATGCCTATGTAAGATCTGGTCTGATATCATTTAACCATTTGGACACTTAAATAACAGCAGGGTTGATATGCATTCTGTAATTGTTGTCACCTGCTAACAACTTGTTCTATGAGGGCTTTTTCCAGCTTCCTACACTTGGTGGATGTGATAGATTGCACGATATGAGAGATGACCATTTTTGGTGTTACCATTAATAACTATCTTAAAGAGATTTACTGAGTGATGTGGATAAACTACCACATTCAATGCAGAAACTCAACTTTCCTCTTAATTACCATTCACTGGTACCACCCAGTGGAGAACAAACACTCTCGCCTTTATTTACTTAAAAAATTGGCTTTATTCTGTGGCACTGGAGTTTGAACTCAGGCTTAGACACTTGCTAAGCAGGGGCTCTTACCACTTCAGCCAGCCTGAAAAACTGACTTTTTCAGATGGAGATTCTGAATGGTGCCTGTGATTTGTGAGTTTCCATTTTATTCTACATTGGTATTGCAGATATGCTATACCCCATTCCTCCTTTAATTTTCAGAAAAGCAAGAAGCACATAAATGATATTTTCTACATATGTGATATACCCAATATATATTTTCCATGTAATATGTACAGTAAATATTGTAAAACAGAAATAATAGCCCATATTCATTGCATTAGTTTTTATGTTTGTCTGTATAAAGTATATAAAAAACTACCATCATACAAAATGAAAATTAAGACAAAAATTAATATATTCAATTTACTTACACCCAAACTCTCTATTATGTCACTTTTGATTCACACTTATTACTTTTATGTACATATATCTATATACAATATACACATTATTGAACCAATTGTTTTTCCTGCCCTCTCATTTACATTAAGTGCCTTAGAAGGAAAACGTGCTCTGAAAATTGTGCTTATATTGTCTCCATATGTTGGCCTTTTTTATTCTTGTTAACTAAATTTTAGGTCATATAATCTAGCACAAAACACAACTCTTCAAAGCACAGCTTGAGTTACCAAATATCAAATAATAATGGCAATATTAGATATTATTGTTGTGTTTCATGCATTTACATTTAAGAAACTACTAGAATGTTGGACTGTTATTGTTATTTCAGGGTATGTTGACATTTAATGATGTGGTGATTGAGTTCTCAAAGGAGGAGTGGGACTCTTTGGACCCATCTCAGAGGGTTTTGTACAAGGACGTTATGTTGGAGAACTACAGTAATCTTGTCTCTGTGGGTGAGAATATCTTTTCTTTTTTCAGATTTCCTAGCTCATCCTCAGGGTTCCTTTGCAGTCTGTGTTGAAGGAGCATTTTCTGTGAATGAGTCACAAATATCAAATTTCAAAGAATCATAATGAGCTTCTTGCTATTTAAAAGCACAATATTATGACATTTTGTGTTGTCTTTAACCTTCCCATTTCTGGAGTAGGTGTGCATGCTTTATCTAGGTAGTGGCAAGTTCAGAAATTCAGTAGAATATTGTATGCCACATCCTAAAGTCAAGTTCCTAACCATTGGTTTTGTTTTTGGGGTTTTTTGTCTTTTTTTGTCTCTTTTTTTATTATTCATATGTGCATACAATGCTTGGGTCAACCATTGGTTTTGACTCAGCAGTAGTTCAAGTGTAGTGAGCATATGGATATCGAGAAAGCTTACTATAAAGAAACTGTCAGGAAATAATGTTTTGGTGGAATACATTTCTAGAGTATTCTTTTAGTTTCTGTCTTTTCTACTGAGCACTGTACTTGGTTTAAAAATCCCAGTAATTCATACAAAATTGCCAGTAAGACCCACAAACCTTTTTCTAATATGCAGTTCTCACAGTCTCTAAACCGGACCTTGTCATATTTCTGGAACAAGGACAAGATCCCTGCAGAGAGAAGAAAGAGGAGACAGCTGAAAAGCATCCAGGTAGGTAAGAGTGAATAAAGCAGTGAACCCAGGGCAGATGTCCAAAGGACCTAAAAATGAGATTTGTATACCATTCCTAACCTAGAAATGGGTTTTTAGAAGCATGGGTATATTTCATTTGTTGTCAAAAAGGGACATCTGTTTCTTTGTGCTTATCATAATCTTAAATCTTCTAAGGCTTCTCTTGCCCCTTTAGGGCAAGTACTCTTGGTCTTATATGACAATCACAGCAAGAGCAAAGCCCTCCCTTCACCCATGAGAGCCTGTTTGATCTAAATGTTCTATTGCTTTGCGGACCTAGACATTCTGGGTACATTTCAGAATTCCTCTATGCTAGAACATTGTTGTACATAAACAACATCAAAAGAAGTCTCTTTACCCATCATGAACTGTTAAAAATGAGGAGTAGAAGACATGGTGACTAGAAAAATAGCAATTTAGTGTATGTGAATTTGCTGAAAGTATATCATGTTTTCCAGGAATATTGCAATGAGAACCTTCAATTAATTTATGCCAATAAATATTTTTGAAAGATAGATGTGCTGAAAGAAAATTGTCTTATTTAATTGAGTGAGATAAAAATTGTTATGTTTTCATTGGAGAATGAATGCACTAATATTCACACATTTCTGACTTCATCGAAGTATTACTGATGTACAGTAAAGTGCACATATGTGAAAGAAATATTTGATGAGTTTTAAAATGTGCAAGCACATAAAAGAAATTTGTCTTAAGCAATTATTACTGCAGCATTCTCAGGGCAATGTAGTTGGTGGTAGTTTGTCTTGAATGTAGGGCATTGCACTTTCTAGGGAAGCAGTCTATCTCTTTGCCACCCTACCAGGCTCAGGGTGACATTTTCATTTCCTTACGTTTTCTGCATTTGCTGACAGAAATTCTTCTTGTGCAATAATTTCCTCTTCTTCCCTATTTCCATTTTCAAAACAGTTATTTGAATGGAGTTTTGTGGAAAGGAAGAAAGGAGAGTGACAAAGGAGAATAAACTGATCAAAGAAAAGAATATTCAAGCTAGGATACAATGAGATCCACCCTTTATTCATTTTATTTGGATCTATTCATTATGCAGCGGAGATTCCTTGTGACAATTCTGAATACAATTACATAGTACATTGGTGAGATTTTCTCTAGTATTTCTCTCCCCCTACTATCTCCCACCCCACTCAAATTAGTTGCAAAGATTCCTTTATACTATCTAGACATTTTTGTGAAGCCTTTCATTCAAATTCCCTTGCCTTCATCTCTTCCATTCACCCTCTCCCCTCCCACATGTGTCCCTCCCACACACATACTGACTATATTATACAATCCTGCCTTTTGTTATTTATTGCAAAGTCTATGTTCAAAGGGTTGCTCGATGTATCCCCACTGTAAGGACACTTTACTTTGGGAAGCTTCACCCCTTCTGTCACAATCCCTTATCCCTTCTCTCCCAAACCCCATTATTCGACAGCTTCAAATACATATCCTTATACTCTGTATCTGCACAGATATAATGCATTTCAATATTTTGACTGTCTCATTCTCCTTGCTTTCTGTCGTCCTCTGAGTTCAATTGGGTGGTTTCACTATCTCAAAGATGTTCTACATATGTTTTTACATGACCGAGTTTGTTTTGTGCATATGCTTATCTTTTGGGTCTAACTTCCATATATGAGAAAAATGCAAGGACTTTGTCTTTCTGAGTCTGGTTAACTTCACTTAACATGATGTCCTCAAATTTCATCCATTTGCCTTCAAATGGCAAGGCTTCATTCTTAATATAGCTAAACAAAATGCATTGTACACACACACACACACACACACACACACACACACACACATGCACATTTTATTGATCCATCCATCAGTTGTAGGGCATCTGGGTTGGGTGCATACCTTGACCATTGTGAATAGTGTTACAATAAACATCAGTGTGCAAGTATCACTATTGTATCCTGGCTTAGGTTCCTTCAGACACATGTCTAGGAGTAGTATCACTGGATAATATAGCTGTTCTATATGAGAGAGTTATGTGAGTTTTAATGCTTTTTAAATAATTTCTATGCTGCTTTCCATAATGTTTGTAATAATATTTACTCACAGCAACAGCATGTAAGAGTTCTTGTTTCTCTGCATCCTCACCTTAATTTGTGGTTGTTTTTGCTCTTGAAGATGGTCATTTTTATCTCTTCTGAAAGTTCCCTATTCAATTCATCTGCCATTTCTTCATTGGTGTGTTGATTCTTTATAGATTGAGTTTTTGAGCTCCCTGTACGTTCTGGATATTAGGCCCTTATAAAATGTATAAATTGCAAAGATTTTCTCCCATTCTGTGTGCAGTCTCTTAAGTCTACTTTCTGTTCTTTTGTTTTGCAGGGGCTTTTTAATTTGATGCAGTCCCATTTGTTCCATCTTTCTCTTAGTTGCTGGACCATTGGTGTTCTACTTAGGAAATCATTGCTTATGCCTATATGTTCCTGTGTATTCCCTACCACCTCCTGATTTTGTCTTAAACTTTCAGGGATTAGGTTAAGGTCTTTGATTCATGTTGAGTTGATATTGGTACAGAGTAAAAGTCAAGGATCTGCCTTCAGTCTTCTACATGTGCATATCTAGTTTTCCCAGAAGCATTTCTTAACGAAGCTGTCTTTTCAGCAATGTGTTTTGGGCTCTGTGGTCAAAAATCAGTTGATTGCACTGCCTGGATTTATGTCTAGTCATATTCTGAAACACTCGTCCCGGTGCCTTGTGTTGTGCCTGTACATGCTATTTTTAGTTTTATGACCCTGTACTACAGTTTGAAGTCAGGTATTGTGATAGCTACAGCATTGGAATTTTTACTCAGAATTGCTTTGGTATTCAAGGTCTTTTGTGTTTCCATATGAATTCTAGGATTGATTTTTCTATCTCTGTAAAAATGTCATTGGGATTTTGATCCAGATTGCAATGAACATGTATATTCCCTTTTTGTAGTAAAGCTATTTCTACAACATTTATTTCATCAAGCCACTACCAGCGGAGATCTTTCCATCTTCTGATGACTTCCTTTATTTCTTTCTTCCTGATTTACACCTACCATAGAAAAGTCCTTTGCTTTCTTCACTAAGTTTATGCCTTGGCATTTTTGAAGTTATTGAGTTTTGGGTGGCATTTTTAGGGTCTTTTACGTAGAGGATCATGTCATCTGAAAATAAGGGTAGTTTGACTTCTTCTTTCCCTGTGTGAATCCTTTATTACTTGCTCCTCTCTTCTTGTTCTGGCTAGGAACTCCAAAAAGTACAATGAATAATAGGAGGAAAAGTGGACATCCTTGTCTCATTCCTGATTTTAGTGCGAATAATTTTAATTCTCTATTTACTATTATGTTGGATATAAGATTGACATATATTTACTTCATTGAGGAACACTCCTTCTATTCCTAGCTTGTTTAGTGCTTTAAGTTTTTACTTTTTTTGCTTTATAAATTTATTGCATGTCTTCTTAATATCTTGGTGTATTACAGGAACCAATGATGTCTTTAAGACTAGTATTATGCCTTTTATATGTTTATTTCTTTTCAGTTAGAATGAATTAATTGTACAAAGGAGGTTTCATTGTGATAATTCCATGTACAAATTTTACTTTATTAGGTTGTATTCATTATACAATTGGATTTATTGTGACAATACTGAATAACCTTGCATTGTACATTGGTAACATATCTTCGGTTATTTATCATGACAGTGCAGTGAATTTTGTCAAAGGCTTTTTCTGCATCATTCATGGGTGTCACATGATTTTTGTATTTGCTGTTGATTACATGTTGCATTGCATTTACAGATTTTCATATGTTGACCCACTCTTGCATCCCTGAAATGAAACCAACTTGGTCACGGTTTATCCTCTTTGTGATGTTTGTGAAATTCAGATTTGCATGCATATTTATTAAAGATAATGGTCTGTAATTCTCTTTGATTGTTGCATTTTTGTTGGGATTTGGAATGACTATAATACTGGCTGCATAGAATGGATTTGGTAGTGTTCCTTCCCTTTCTGCTACCAGAAAAAGGTTGAGGGGTATTGGTATTAGTTCCTCTTTAAAGGTCAATTAGAATTTGGCTAAAAATCCATCAGGTTTGTGCTCTTCTTTGTTGGGAAACTTTTTTATTTCTTCAAACCTTGCTTGATATAGATCCATTTATGTTGTTGATATCTTCTTGATTCAATTTGGATTGATTAAATACTTCTAGAACTTTATCCATTTCTTACAGAGATTACAGTTTACTGGAATACCAGAATTCCAGCCATTCCCTAATGATCCTCTAGATTTGTTAGTTTTTGTGTTTATGTCCCCTTTGTGATCTTTGACTTATTTTGTTGGGGTCTTTTCCCTTCTCTGTCTATGCAGGTTCACTAAGGATGTAGAAACCTTGTTAATCGTTTAAAAAAACTTCCTTTTTATTTTGTTAATTCTTTTCATAGTTTTTTAAAATGTCAATCTCATTGATCCCAGCCCTGATTTTATTCTTTCTCTTTATCTGATAGTTTTGGATTTGGTTTTTCCTTGTGGTCCTAAAAACCATAATATGCATTATGAGGTTATTGAGATGTCTCTGTTTTTTAATATAGGCAATCATAGTTTTCATTTTCATTACATTATAGGACCTTTTCATTTTCTTTGATGGCTCACTGGTCATTCAGCAGTGTGTTGTCCAGTCACTATGTGTTTAAATATTTTGTAGTTTTTTCTGTTGTTGAGTTTCATTTCATTCCATAGTGATACTAAAAGGTACAGGGCATTATATCAACATTCATAAGAGTTTTAAGACTTTGTGTCTAAAAGTATGATTTGTAGAAGAAGGTTTCATAGCTGATAAAAAATATGTGTATTGTATAGTGGATGGATGAAATACATATATCACTGAGTCTAAAGTGGCAATTAATTTTCTTATTTCTTTGATGATTGTTAGTCTAAGTGAACTACATATTGATGAGAGTTAGTTATTGAGGTCTCCCACTATACCATGTTGGGAGGTCTATCTGTCCTTTTATTTCCATTTAATTTTTAGTGTACTTCAATGCATGAGTGTTTAGCACATATATATTATGAAGTGTTGAAAATTCTGCACTTTTAAAATGACTTGCCTTTATATGTCACTTGTCAATTTTCTATTACACCTTTCTGTATTCTTTCTTTGTTCTGTATGTTGAGTGTCTTTATTTTGATGTGTCCAGACTTGTTTCCTCTCTGGTCGGGACAGTTTAGTGTTTTATGACTCCTGATCCTAACATCCCACTCTTTCTCAGGGTTTGGTTAGTTTTCAGCTCTTACCTTATTGAATAAATTACCTATGCTTTAGTGTGTATCTCTTCTCCTTCTTCTGGATCCATGATTCATAGATTTGGTCTTCTAATGGTGTCCCAGATGGCTTGCATCTTCTGTTCATATTTTATTTGTCTTTTTCATTTCTTTAACTATTTGGTATAATTCTTTTACTTTGTCTTCTGTTTCTCATACTCCATTTTCAACTTTTCCTGTCAGCCAAGATTCAATCAGATTTTAATTTGGGATTTGGGCTGTTCATTTCAAATTGGTTATTTTTCAGGGTTCTATATCTTTATTATTATCCTCTCTCATTTCTAGCTTGTGTTCTTAATTTCACTGATTGCTTTGAATGAACTGTTTTTAAGTTCTTTTAATTGATTCTTCATATCTTATTTGAGCTAATTCACTAACTTACATGTCTTCTGTTTGAGCTGATTTATTATTCTCAATATTATTTTTTGAAATTAAATGTTCAATATTTCCTCCTTTTCTCCTTTGTTTAGACCCATATTGGTGGAATTGGCTTTTGCATGAGAGTTGTTGCCTTGTTACTGCCTGTTTCTGCATTGAGATTTTTGCATCTGGGGTCATGTTTTTGTAGGTTCCATTTCCCCATGTTCTATTAATTGTGGTTTTAGTAAAGATTATACAGAAGTGAGTGGTGGTTCAGTTCTAGTGTGTTTTCTTGTCTCTAGATGGAGGGGTATGACTCAATAATACACTCCCCAGGTTTACATTTTGAAGATGCTGGATTTTCCCCCCTGTTCCACAAAAGGAAAGGAGGTTTAGCTACAAAATCTATCACAGTTGTTAACCTGTAGCTGGAAATTACAGTAATCTTTAACAAGCAGCAGTTACTGATACTGCTCCAGTATTTTAATTGTCTATTAGAGCAACAGTGAATCCTTAGGGTTAGACTATAGTTTTACACAATCACAAGATTTTTCAGATGTCCTCACTACTTGAGATCTCTGGAGGGGTGGGAGGTGCAACTCACTGTTGGTAGCAATGTCCTGCTTCCACTGCTACTGTTGTGTGCACAGCAACTGCTTAGGCCACATGGTACCATATTCTCTGAGACCTCTGTGTACTGCCACCAGATCGTAGTAAATTTTCCCTGGTCAGCACCTCTTCCTCATTGGCCTTCTCTCCCCCTTCTCATGGGCATTACACCACTTTGAACATTTACTTTGGGATTAAAAAAAACTGTCCTGTAAGTTAGGTACAGGGTAGGTGGGAATACTTGTCAGAGGTGGGAAAGTGAGTGGAGATGAATTTCAGACAATATAATTGATGTGCTTCCTATACAGATATAAAAAAGAAGGATGACCAGCTTGCAATTAATTTATCTCAGGCTGGGATGGGGCTGTGGTGGAAGATGGTTAGGAAATATAAGAAATGTAAAATGTAAGTCTTGTAGGAATAGGCACAATGTATCACCCCTCTAATGTGAATATATGCTAAAATATGAAAAAATAAAAAACAAATTGTTGTTTGTAGAATATTTCATCAGGTACATAAAATAGTAGGGAAGCAACTAAAAATCTTTTGAAAAACATGTCTTAGATTCTCTCAGTCTAACTACTTTACATTTATCCAGGGAAAATGAAAATATGATGAAACTTTATCTGCATAACTATGCTCCCGATAGGTAATACATGGATTCAACATAAAGTTTTATCAAATATCAATAATTTAAAAAAACTACATATGTGAATATAAAGGTGATAAGTATACTCATATATACATATAATTGTGCATAGGTACGTGTGTATATATACAGCTCCACAAAGAAATGTTCTACAGTCATAAAGAAGGACATCATTGGGGCTGAAGGGTTTGCTAAAATGGTAGAGTGCCTACATCATAAATGCAAATATTTAATTTCAAACCCCGTTACCACCACTAAAAAGTACATTATTTTATTTATGAAATGATGTATTCGTTAGTGAAAAGAGGTTTTCATTAATAAACAAATCTCACAAAATCCAACTGTTATTGGGATACTAAAATGTTTATCTCACAAACATAGAGATGACTTGAGGAGGATTGTGGAAATTTCAGGCAAAGGACACTGTACTTCTGATTCATAAGTGGATTATATTAGCATGAGTTTGATTTTACTTTTATTTCACAGTACTGAGGCTTGAACTGAGAGCCTATTTCTCAAGCCAATCCAGCAGTCATTTTACTGGTGGGTTTTTTTGACATAGGGTCTCACACACTATTTACTTGGGTAGGTTTTGAATCATGATCCTCCTGATCCCTACCTCCTGAGTAGCTAGGATTATAGGTATGAAACACCGTGATGGGCTTAGTAAGTATTTTAAACAAAGAGTTAAGAAGATATTGTACTCTTTTAAAAAGCTAAGAAAAGAGATGTTACATTTTCCCACTCTTAATATGCTAACGTTCTAAATTATGACAGGTATTAATTACAAGGATTACAAAGATTGTTCACTGGATTGTGTCTATCTTTTGTAATTCATCATGTTTAAATAGAAACTACACAGTCCTTTAGCCACTTGAAAGGGCAAAAATCATCAAAGAGCAATCTGTCATGATGTAGACATTGTCATCTTCTGATATAAACTGAAACAAAGCAGACATCATAGAGAACTTAGAGTCTCTCACTATTTTTATTAGGTATATGTAATCTGAAACTGTGTCCATATCATAAGAATGGCAAAGAATTACTTTCTTTTATTCTTAGGTCTCCATAATCTTTTCATTGGGGACTGTATGTCATACTATAAGAATCTTTAATCTTAGTTCTGAGATGAATCAATCTCTCAGTCATAATACACTTCTGTTCCTTCAGTACACCATGTAGCTAATAAACATCAGGCCATGTCCTGTAAAATGCATGAAAACCAGGTCTTTTCACACTAAAAGTGTATCATCTAACTTACTCACTTTTCCCTGTCTTTTCTGAGACTAGGAAATGAATGGGAACATTCTCCTATGAGTACCATACTGCATTGAAAGAGAGTAAAGAAGTGCTCTGAAAACACAGCAAACTTCTCTTCCCCCTTTTACCCTACTGGTTGTAATCCAATAAAATGCTGGAAAATATCATAACAGATATTTACCCTTTTAATAAAAGACAATTATATAAGGGTATTACATTTAATTGTATGTATTTATGGAGGAAGACATGCTGAAAAGTTCTATTCTGCCATTTTTCTAATGTTTGAGACTGATATAAATTAGTTTAGTATATTATGTTACTGAGAGTTCAGTAACATGATCATTTCTTTTTTTTTAATCTCCTTTCAGGTATGTCTTTTCATTACAAACAAACACTTTTCACAGAAGAGAGACAGCAGGACTCATTCCAAACTCTAATACTACAAGAACATGAAAATATTGGTCCTGACAATTTTCTTGTCAGAAAATCCTGGGAAGGCGCTTGTTACTTTAAAGGGCAACAAAGATGTGATTATGCAAAAATCAACCTTGCAACAACAATATACAACAAAAACGTCATTACCAATAAAGGTGAGAAAAATCAGACATCTTTCAAAAATTCCCATTTTATGTCAATACCTAGTTCACAATCAGGTCCTTTTTTAAGAAAGGGTACACATCAGGTTTTGGAAAATAACTATGCAGAGAAGAGACGTATAGATGATTTGCAAAGTAATGGAGACCATGAGACAATTAATCATCTGAATTATATTGAACATGGCACTGGATTCAACAGTAATTCAACAACTTCTCTAGACAACAGACTTAACTGTGAAGAAAAATATTCTGAATGTGGTAAGTTTGAGATGTCCTTTCCTAAAAGTTCATTAGGCCTCCACCAAAAACTAATTGTACCTTGTGCAAACATCAAGTTACATGAATATGAGAAGGCTTGTGTCATGCCTCTAACCTTAAAAAATCAACAATGTATTGATGACTCTGCAAAACCATGCACAAGTAATGAACCTTCAATGATCTTTACCGAGGACTGTATACTTAAGAGTTACCCAGATACTTCTCTTGGGGTGACAAGTTGTCCTGGCAATGACTCATCCAAAGACATTAAACAAAAACTAAATCCTACTAGTCCTCTGAGAACACATTTTCCAGTGAATTGTCACAAATGTGATCCATGTGGCAAGGTCTCTAATCACTTCTCAAACTTTATCCCTCAAAATATGCACACACAAGAAAAGCCTCTCAAAAGGCATAAATATAGTATAACTTTCAACCAATCCTCAAAAAGTCTGCAAAATGCAAAAACTAATACTAGAGATTACTCCAAGAGATCCAAATGTAACAGAAAGAGGAAAACCACGGACCAGTCATCAAATGTAAGTAAACACAGCAGAGTAAATGACCAAGAAGTATTGAACAAATATCAAGAATGTGACAAATATTTTTGGCCCCAAGCAGTTCCTCATGAAAATCAGAAAATATGTACTGGAAATAGTTCTTACACATGTAAAGAATTCAGTAAATCTCTTTTTTATTCTTCACAATGCTTTGTGAAGCAGAAATTGCACACTGCACTTAAACCACACAGATGTAGACAATGTGACAAAGCCTTCTATAGTTTCTCAAACCTCAAAACACATCAGAGAATTCATCCTGGTAAAAGACTTTATGAATATGAAGAATGTAGTAAACCTTCTGCCCATTCATCAAAAACTATGCATGCAAGAATCCACACTGGAAAGAAACCCTACAAGTGTGAACATTGTGATAAATATTTTAATTATCCCTCAAGACTGCTTCTGCATCAGAGAATCCACACTGGAGAGAAACCATACAAATGTAAAGATTGTGACAAATCCTTCAGTCAATGCTCACACCTTAAAAGACATCAGAGAATTCATACAGGAGAGAAACCATACAAATGTATGAATTGTGACAAATCTTTTAGTAGTTGCTCAAATCTCAGAATACATCAGAGAATCCACACTGGAGAGAAACCATACAAATGTAAAGACTGTTACAAATCCTTCAGTCATTGCACAAATCTAAGAATTCATTACAGAATTCATATAGGAGAAAAACCATACAAATGTAAGGATTGTGACAAATCCTTTAGTAATTGCTCAAACCTCAGTATACATCAGAGAATCCACACTGGAGAGAAACCATACAAATGTAAGGACTGTGACAAATCCTTCAGTCAGCAGGCAACCCTTCAAAATCATCAAACTGTCCATACTGGAGAAAAACCATACAAATGTAAAGATTGTGACAAATCCTTCAGTCAGTGCTCACACCTTAAAAGACACCAGAGAATTCATACAGGAGAGAAACCATACAAATGTATGGATTGTGACAAATCCTTTAGTAATTGCTCAAACCTCAGAATACATCAGAGAATCCACACTGGAGAGAAACCATACAAATGTAAGGACTGTGACAAATCCTTCAGTCAATACTCACACCTGCAATCTCATCAAACTGTGCATACTCGAGAAAAAACCATACAAATGTAAAGATTGTGACAAATCCTTCAGTTAGTGTTCATTTCTTAAAAAAAATCATCAAAGAATCCATATTGGAGAGAACTATATGAATGTAATGACTATGATAAATCCTAAACTCAGTGGTCACACCTTAGATATCATAAAACATCCATTCTGGAGAGAAACCGTGGAAATGTAAGGAATGTGACACATCACCGAAGTCCAACTCTAACCTGCAGAGTCATCACAAAATTCATACGTGAGGGATTTCTTATAACTGCTTGAAATGTGCAAGTAATTTGCCAGGTATATGTCTCAGAAAACATTACAAAATTAATATTATAACACACCTACAAATTTTTAAATATTCAAAGCTCTTTAGGCAAGTACATCATGTTTGACATTAGAGAATCTCCTCTGTGCAGAAACTCAACAAATTGAAAGAATATGATAAAGAATTTTCACACTATAATCAATATCCAAAAAATAAGAAATAATCTCTGTACATAAAATGAAGGTGAAATGAGTTTTATCCTTTCAAATCCCCAAACAGTATAGGTGCAGTTATAACATAAAATTGTAATGAATGCAGAAAAGTGTTTACTCAAACCTCAAATCTCAGAACCTGGAGAACTCAAATTAGAAAGGACTATGACAACTAACAGTTTCAAACAAAATGGGGAAACTGAGAATAGAGAACAATCCACAGTCAAAGAAGTTGTACAATTTTTCCAGCATTGGAGGATACAGGAACATTGACATTTTATTAAACATATTGTATCATAAAGAACATCTGTGTTGCCATTATTTGAGATTTTCCTGGCAATCCTATAGATTAATTTCCTACTCCAATTAACTCAACCTATTACTTATATGTGAAAGAGAAGATGAAATCTTGTTTTGACATCAGAGTTATGACAGTCCACACTAAGTGAAGAAGACATCTTTATTATCAGTGGTTTAATGACTGAATAGTGGCAAAAGTAAAACCCATTGTGAAAATTGAGAGGTAGATATGCTTTGTGTGTGAATTATGAACATGTTGGAAGTCAGCCTGAGGTATGTGTCCAGGAAATTGTTCTTCTTTATTTATAAAAAGGATAATCTAAATATTCAAAATGAATCATAATACCAATTCCATGTCAAGGAGAATTACCATTCCATTAAAGACTTATGTATTCTTATAGTTGTAATAATAAATGTATCTATGCATCACAGAAAAAGGAAAATTCCTCTTGGAAAAGTTGCAAAGGGATCCCTCATCAGCATATAGAATTCATAAGCCTTGGTGTTTCAAATGGATAATGCTAAAATGTGGGAACATTAGTCCAGAGGAAAAATAGTTCTTCTTGAGTGCTTATAATCTGTATATTTCTTGTAGCATGCAGGAAATTTTTAAATAGTATACCTATTTGGTTTGTAAGGATAAATTGTTTTAATTAATAAAGCAAAGGTTTTAAAGGTCCTAAAACTGAATTTCAATGAAAATGTTCTTGTGCTGACACCAACATTAATCTTTCAAACTTATTTCAAAGAATGAGAAACCCAAATTATACATGTCTAGTCATATACTTAGAGTGACACCAAATGGTTTCTCACTGAATAACATCTGTCCTGTGAAACTTCAAGTAAATTACAGGATATAATTCCACACAAATTTTATTTTGAATTACTGGGACATTACGAATTTCATAATAAAATTTTATGGGTATACAATTAGACTTCATGGTTTTTGATAATTGAATTTTATTTATGAAAATTTATCCCCTTTTTCACATGTCCCTTTCTGAGCTGGTAGTACCTGGATTTTATTTTAAATTCACATTCAGAAAAAAATACACAAATGCGTTAAGTTTAGAACATTTATGAGCATGCTTAGTACAAAGAAATAAGCACACTTTTGTTTGTGTGCATTCATGTGTGCCTTTTGAAAAGGACAATGATATATTGGACCAAATCATATAGTTATTTAGTGCAGTGCTCAGTTTCTCTGCCTGGGAAAAAATACATAAGAAAAGAAAGAATGATTTAAATAAGAAAGATTTATTTAGGACCATGGTTTCAGATATTTCAGTCCATGGTAACTTTGTTCCATTCCTGTGTATCTGATGAGGCAAAGCATCATACATTCAGGGGCACAAGGAAAAGGATGCTCACATTGTGCTAGCCAAGAAGTATGTGATAAAAGAAGAGGATAAACTATGCCGTTCACAGCCATGACACCCACTGGTACAGCCCATCTCCGATCAACGTTAAGCTGTGAGCACTATGTTAGAGTCCTCATGATCCAGTCTTCCCAAGTGGTCTCATCCCTGCACACAACTGCTCTGTGGGTTGAGTACAGAACACATGATCTTCTGGGAGACATTCCCAATCCAAATGAACATAGGAAATGATTCATTAGGCAAGATAAACATGATAATTCATTGCAGTAAATATAATTTGTCTACACATAGAATACAGCTCTCAAAATCCTATGTCTTTCATACAAAACGTATGCCAAAGATCCTGTCTTGCTTATTACATAGTATTAACATAAGAAGTAATACATGATTTATTCTTTAAAACAATACAAAATGTACACATGGCACTCTCAGGGAATGAGTGTTTTCCTGAAATTTAATTGTTCTCAAGAGTTAATTAAAGAGTTATTAATAAATTCTAGTTTATATTCAGTACAAATACTCTGACAAATGAACTCCGTTGACTCCACAGTTAGGTGGAGGTGAAAATCACGTCATTTTTCTTTAGTTTTTGATCCTCACATAAGGATTATCATGGAACTTATTTTTTATAGCTCTGTCATTGTTCAATTAAAAAACATAACTGAACATACCATAGTATTGATATGACCTCTTCTCAAACTACCAAATTAATTCCCTGAATTTGGGAAATTTAATGTTGATGGTGGCATTTTCCAAAGACAGTTTGTCACCCTCCAGCTTCATCCCTAACTACACATGCATCATAGCTAGCCACCCTGTTTATTACGTTTATTGTCTCTCAGCTGTAGATGGTGTCTGAGGGTGCCATCTTGGAATCTCTGGAGCTTCTCTCACCTGGATTTTCCTGTCTGTGGCTACAGGATATACATAACGAATAGTGTAGACACCAAATCCTCAGGTTCCAAAGCTCAAGGACCGTTCTTCCTCTGCAGTTTCCCACATTTGTCTTTGTCTTTCTCTCTGCTCGTCATCCGAAGTGACCCGAGACTCAGAAACTGCTGGAGAATCATGAGCTTCACATTTTCCTTCTACTTATTTGACTCGGAGCTGGAAGGAAAGGTCCTGGCCTTCACAATTCATTAGAAACTTTGGCTCCTCATTCTGTACTGAGTGGCTCCATAGTCCTTGAATTTGAAATATGGGCATGGGAATAGTTGGTCGTGAGTGTGTAGCAGTCTCAGGCTGTTTTCAAAGGAAACAAAAGTACTTATTTTTGATAGGGCATCAACGTAGGGCAGAGGACAGAGTCCCATGTTATTTCAGTTGGCCAGAAATTGCAGATATTACGCTCCTTCCTAGAGCCTACCGCACAGAGTCATCCACGCAGGAAGAATGTTTTTCTAATAATAATTACATCGTAGCAAATATTGTATATTAGAAACACCCAGCTGCACACAACAGTAAAAGAAAACTAGGCTACTCCTCTGAGTCTCTTAAGAGGACAATCAGTCTGGTGAAGGTAACACCAAACAGGTAGGTTTGCATAAGAAAGAAAAACTAGTTATAAATACACAACTATGTTTAAACCCATTCTCTATTGTCTCTGCTGACTGCTTAGTTCTCATAAGTTCTAAATCTGCCTTGACCATTGCTTCCTCCTTCAATTGTTGCAGAACCACAAAGTACAACTGCTCTGCTCTCTTGCTTCTCCTGGTTCTTTTCTTGAGAAGGTCTTTGAGACTTAGGCTTTAGTGGGCAGCATTATGCAATAATTATTGAATCTCTTAATTATAAATAATACACTTACAATCATATAAAAACAGTAAAAAATTTTCATTCTCCTACCTCTGCAAGAATAATGAGAGGGGTGATAAACTCACACCTACATTATTCTAGTATGTTCAAAATTGAGTTCTCATTCTGTGTTCTTTTGCCAGCATCTATCCACTCCCAGAATAGTACACTACTTAAGGAAAGACCACCTGATTTTTACATAGTCAATTCCGGTTTGCATTCTTGCATAAAACCATTCTGGTTTGGATTGTCCAGCCACTGTCTCTAAGATCAGATCCTTCACCACATTTATCAAAGTCTAGGGAAGATGAGGCAACAATTATTGATTCCTTTCCAAAGATGCTAATAAAACCTGCTATTTTGCCGTGAGAAGGCATTGCAAAGTATTGATATATAACCTAAGGAGAACTTGTGATGTTTCATGTAGTCCATACAATCATATGCCAACTTCTTCACACAAAAGTATCTGATTGGCCAAGGTGGCTGATATTGGAGAGATGAGAGATAAATATATCTCTGAACCACAACAGCAGTGAAAACTTATCCTATGTGGATAAAACACACCACTTTTGAAAATAAAAAATGGTAATAAGAAATATTTACCACTATGGAAATCAAAAGACAAAACATCACCAAAATGAATTTTTAATTATAATTTTTAATTAGGATATGTTAAGTATACAGGGGGTTTCATAGAGACAATTCCGATTAATCTTATATTGTACATTATTTACCTTGCCCCCATCATCTCTCCCTCTCAGACCCCTCCCCATCCCACTTAAAGCAATTGCAAGAGGTTTTTTAGTTGTTTCACATAGGTATATGAAGTCATCAACCATATGCCATCACCTTAATCTCCTTCCTTCAACCTCCCCACTCCCACTAGTACCAACCTCCCACACACTCTGCCTACTTTACTGTCCTGGTTTTCATTATTAATATTTAAGTTCATGTTCAAGTGGTGTCTCAAAGTACACCTCAATACCCATTGTGGGTGTACTTTACTTTCATCCATTTGACCACTTCCATTACTCTCCCTTACTGCTTTATCTCCCACCCTCCATTTTTCAA